TATATATAAGCTCCATTAGCAACGGTCATATATTACGTCTCGATACGATTAAACATAACATGACATTTTTGGCTCAATACGCGTACAGCTATGATTTCAAATGTAACGGTATTACAAAATCGTTATAGGACACAAGACTTGGTAACCAAAGCAGCTCTTGGCCACTAACGAACATAAATTTTTTTTTATATTGTCAGTATGTCGGGGGCCAAGTGGCTATCGCCGCTTGATTAACTTCAGAAACATAACAGACTGCGGCTACTCAAAACTGTCATAGTGGGTGCATATTATAAATAGTCGTATCACATACATGTGGCACAAGTCCTCCAAATGAGTTGTTATATCGTTAAACACGAGAACCATATGCTCTGATTTGATAACCCAATTTTCATTTGACATTCTGGAGCCTCAATTATGGCAAAAACTAGATCCAAAAAAACTAAACCATTGTGTCATCAAATTATTAAGGTGATCGCAAAAACTCCATACACATAGTACTTCAAACATCTGAAACCAAAGTTGAAATTAAAGAAAGTTTTAACTTCAAAAACATATGTATCCCTAAAATATAAAGCTGAAATTATGCTTCTCATATATTCTAACTACAGTTTCAAGCGTTTCCACTACTATCTGGGCAAATAAGATGCAAATGGAGGTCTTGTACTAGGGAATTGCACGCCTTACTGAAAGCAAAGCCCTAAACCGAATAGTTATACATATCTCTTTAAAGAAATTGAATTAAAAAATTAGGACGGAACTATTATTTCTATTGTGTGGATACTGGATACAACTTCAACACATACAAGCTGGGCAAATGATGTAAGAAGGCCTGAACTACCTGTAAACTAGAATGCAGGTTTTTCGAAATCTTAGATTTCAAGGCACCTATGCCTTAATTAAATTGAAAATTACTTCAGGTAACCTGTGCAGATTGCACAGATACATGGCGTTATTAAATTTTAAAATGTACTACTAAAATAAAGTTACGAGGTAGGCATTAAAGGTCTTTTGTCGTAGTATATGAAATAGAACTTTCCAAAAGTTTGCATAACTAAAAACTAATCGTTTTGGTCCACTTAATTAAAGATTATGTTCTAACCTTGTATCATAGTGTACAGTCGTGGTCCAAACCCTGTGTATAGCCATACACATATTTACCCTGGCGCTTCTCGATAGCGGCATCATCTTTGAAATGCCGTTCTCGCGTCCCCCGTCAATATGAAGCTTGAGTATTGTAGCACCAATTCGCCTTGCATATACAGCAGAAAAATATAAAGAAACAACGTTTGGCTCATCCACTTTAATCGTTGATAATGGTGTAATAATATCGTATTTGCTTACTACGTGTATATAGACACGTAGATGAGGCAGTCTAGTTCGAAATGAAGCTTCGACAGACTCTGAAGCAATGCTTAATGCTTGACGCAAAGCTCCAAATATTTAATAAGATCTTATGGAAAGCCACATGAGCTAAGAACGTGGTCCCTGTTAACGAATAGTAGAGATGCGATAGGTGCACTGTTTTGAGGCTTCGGCATCAAGCTTTCTAAATTTATAAAGTCTGTCACCTTTGTTAAGTAAATATCAATACTTCGAAAACCAATTTTTTAGCTAATCATTTATATTCTTGTGGAATAGATTGCTGCAATTATCGACTACTACTTTGGAAAAATGTTTTATTGAACCTCTTATAACCCTAAGTCAATGTTAAGTCATAATGGCTTAACGTGCTACGATACCCAATGCTTAGTCTGTGCTATTGGTGAAAAACTTAACATATGCTTTCTATGCTGCCATATTTTCATTGCGGTAGCTCATATTGTAAAAGCAGCATACAATATTAAGTAGTTCTAATTCGAGAGTGGTTGTTCCCTAGCGGTCGTTTTCTAGTGGCGTGTATAGGTTTGTGGTTAAAGTTGTGTGTAAATGAATGTTGTCGACTAAGTTAAGCCTACATGAAGAAAATTCTCTCCGGAGGATCCGATTTGGTTTGAAGGGTTATATTTAAGCAATCGGTTGTGTGAAGTTTAGTGCGACCCTAGCCAATAACGATCCACCTGTGGTGGAAAATTTTAGAAAATGTAGCAAAAGCATATAAGTACACAAGCAAAGAAGAAACTTGTGGAAAAATGGAATATTCGACATTTACGTGAACAAAATTCAATTTTGGAATAGCGAACGAAAAATCAAATTCTATATTTTATCAACAGATCTAATACATTATGTTGGCCTTGGTCCTGAGAGGGTTTTGCTATTTATGTGTAACTTGGCACGTTGTTATATAGAGAACGCAAACCATAAGACTTTTTCAAAGTAAATCAGTTACCAATGTAAGCGACTACATTTTACTTATCCAAATTCCATGTTTCAAACAATCTGATGAATATAGTCTGAAAGAGCGCATATTCATAAACCGGGTAACCAATTACAGTGAACCCAATGCTCATAACGACGTGAACTTTTTCAATGATATAGAGTTAATTTCATGGTGTATCGTCTTAAATGAAGAAAATCTGGCGAGCCCGAATGCACCTTGCATAGGAAGCGTTTTTAGAAACAAAATTCTCTAAGCAGTGTCACATTAGAGGAAGGTCATAGCTGCTAATATTTTGTATTGCAATGTATACACTAATATTGCGATCACTCTGTGACGAAACAAGAACGAATCAATGACGCCCGTTCGCGTCGACGAGGGTCGATGACGTATAGGCTCAAGGTTAGCCTTAGATGAAATACGACTTTGCTAAAAGGGTCCATGCGTAAAAGAATAGCGCCATAGCCGCAATGGCCTATCACTATTGAACTTAAACGCATATATAACATGTAATCGACGGTTATTATTTGCAAAAAAAATCAACGTCTAGCCGTTTCTGTGTGCTATAGTAAGTGCCTATTTTCGGAGGGATAACTTGTCTATGAAAGACTACTAACATAAATAAGTTTACCCCGTTATTTTCGTACAGGATTACAAATAAACATTCATGTGTAAAATTAGTCGTATGCATATAGGGACGCACCATGTTGCTAAAGAGCGAAAGTGAAAGTGATTAGCTAGCGAGCTTCTTAATTATCACCATCATCGTCACCTTATTTTCATTCATTCAAGCATGCATCATGGCTCGTTCTATCCAGAGCTGTAGCACAGGAAGTAGTTGCCATTGTCTCTGACATTTCGATGCATACATAGAGTTGTCGAAGAATCTTACTGAACTGCTTGTTATTATTATCGCCGTCACACCAAATTATATACAACTCACGCAAGACGGACATAATAATCATAATACATAGCAGCCACACATAGGCATGCGGAAACGGGCATACCTTTTTGAGATATAAGCAATCAATTAGTCATAAGTTTTGTCTTTTTTAATTCGTATGAACTTTAAAAACCAACTATCTTCCGTTTACACACTAACCTGTCCTTAAGCTTGACTATCCTTTAATCTGGTTCGCTACAGCATCGTTATCCCAATCTTATAAAATCGAAATGACTTAGTCCACCGTTGCTGCACGTACATCACTGCGTCCTTTCCCTACAACAACAGCGAGAGCAACGACGGCGATGATGACGATGGTAATGATATAACCGATAGCAACATTCCACCTATATGTGTACCAGGTAGAAAATTACGTCCCTGAACTCCGACCAATTATTGTAATTTCTTCAAGAAAAGTTTTACTCTCTGAAGATCACACTCACTGAGACAGGTCCACGGCTTTCCACACGGCAACAGTTACATGACACGGGCTGATTGTAAACTTGAAGCATTTGAACTATACGAATGTCCAAAGTTAATTCTCATAGACCCGCTAGTACGAATTTAACACAGCCAGCGTAATGGACGAAACTATATTGAACATTATTGTAACGGTAAAGTAAATGATTAAGAGGAGCCTTTCTAACGAATCACGAGGCGTCGTGGTGTTGTCTCCTAGGGGGACGCCCGATCAGACAACTATCAGTTCGCTTACTCTCAAACAGCTTGAGCAGCAGCAGCAGCAGTAGTAGTAGCTGAGATAGAGCGACGCGAATCGGATTCAGCCAACTATCCGACGAAGCCCCCGATCTTCGCTTCGCGTCTCGTCCGCTTCGTCGACCGCTGCTATCAAGCAACCAGGCAGCCGACCATCATTCACCGACCACAACACATAGGAGGCGGCAGCGGCAGCAACAGCAGATCCGTCCTGTAGCCGGCCAACTTCGACCGGATGCCACCAGAGGGCGTCCGCGCCATTGGTGGGAGAAGATCAAAACCGATGGCGCTGACTGGTGCTGATCGGAGAAAGCCCGCGCGTAGAGAATGAGAAGGACATTCTTCTGAAGTCAACTGGAATTTTCAAGAATAATATATGTGATTAGGTTCAACTTGCAGATCTCATAACTAGAGATACGTTGTTTCGGTAAAAAAGAATTGTTCAAGAATGTGAGTTGGCTGAATAGCCTATTGAACCGGCTTCAAAGAGACACCATTGAGCAAGTGGCACGTATGCTTAACAGTACATACAGTACTTCACCTTGCCCTGTTTGATTGATTAACAGATAAATCGCTACTACAGAGTAAGAAAGTGTGAACTTTTTTACAACTACAAATAATCGTACTTGTTTCAGTTTGAATTTCGTGAGGGAATTGTTTTTGTTTTCGTGAGAGAATCGTAATATTAACGAATATACTACGATGCAGAAATTAAATAGAAATTAAAAATAAAATTAATTTTACAGGTGGCCGCGTTAGGTACATCAAGAACAAACAAATACACTCCATACGTCAGGGGTTTCCTGATATGGTACGGTTTGTACTGTCGCACAGCCTCCAGTGTACGGGTACAGTTTTGACAAAAAAAAGGTATCACTTTAATCCAACAATAATAACAAAATCAATTCGTAAGTTCCGCCTCATCCCCTTTTAAATGACTAAGTGGAAAGTGTCGACGGGGCCGAATGCCTGTCGTCACACTATAGGCGCGGGTTTGCACATGCTCGATCATAAACCTGACTTTTTTGAACATATCGAGTATAGAATAGAGTTCTATGCTAAACAAAGCCTATATATGAAAAAATATATGTCGATAATGTCGACATCATCGACATATAAGTTTTGATAGTTTCTTCATACACTTTCTACTCTCTGATAAAATAGCCAATATAGACAAATAGCCTGTGATATGTCAAAGATCAACATTGACAACACGCAGCCTTAGATATCTTACGTGTGAAATAATAAATAGTATAAAGTGTTTTTAACAAATACGTTTTGATGTTTAATAAACATATTAGGAATTTTTCTGTGCTTCATAAATACAATGCATCGAAAGCCTGCTATATAGATAGAGATGAACAAATAAAAGGTGCCTTCATTCAGCCCGACTTACCGTGTATTAGATTTCGTATAAGTATAGGATTGTTCCAAAAATTCAAAAAAAAAATTCAAAAAGTCAGCTGTAACTAATCGAGTTTTTACTTAGCCCATCTGATGTGCATCGCATGTCCTACAGAAACGCGCTTCATATAATTTTTGATATAAATCTTTAAAAATCAGATATTTATGACATGAGGCCTAAAGATATATACAACAGATATTTAAAAAAAATCGATTCCAGTGACCTTTATTCAAGTTTTTACATTTTTTGGCAACGTCTCTGGCTATAGCCAGCGTTCATTCTAGAGAAGGCGATGAAGACCGTTTTCTTGCCAGCCATGTCTGCATAAATAGTCTCTAGAGTCCAAGTAGTACAGTGAAAATCGGTGGGGCCAGCCCACAAGAACTGTTCGTGGATGTCTACTCACAGCAGGTTGTCCTAAAAACCTCATTTCTGTTGGCCGGTAGCGGTTTTGACTGGAAGATTCGCAGCGTTCGTTGGTAACGCAACAGCTGCTGTACGGAATTGCCAACCTGTTCCGCGGTGAAAATGAAAAACAAGCAGGGCAATCCGTCAATAAATGATACAGGGTTCTAAAGAAAACACGACGAAAAAAATTTAGATAAGTCTTCGTTTAGACCGCTAGTGCAATACAGGAAATAAGGTACGGTGTGAAAGGATACATATCTAACCTCCGGTAAATAAAAATACAAAAAACATATGTACTTGATTTTCCGTTAAAACCCAAATACGGGAAGGAGGATATGTCGATGATGTCTCGACACCATTATTGGCTGGCTTTAAAAACAGACAGATCTGATTGCAAATAAGATGTATATAATAAATGGCCAGCATCGTGCCCGTTCCTTACAGATTCATTCAAGTTTCTATACAATACAGAAAAAATTATCAAGCACCATTAGTACAGTTGGGAGAAAGATACCTGCGCCCATTTGCTTCAAGTAATGGTAAAAGGACTCATTTTTTATGCAAACGTCGTCTGCACGTAAGGAGATTATGGATCTTCATCACGCTTTTCGTAAGTGTGCGTACCAATCTTTCCTCAGTTTTCCGATACTGATATCCACCCTAAAAAGCACAGCTCGTAGCTATGCTTTTCAAAGTGGAAGTTCTTTTGTTAATTGCTAAGCATAGGCTTCAACTGCGGCAGTTCCATGAGTTACTCCTAAGCCACTTTTGCGAGTTACTATCAGTTCTAGTCACGTATTCTTGTCCAAGTCTCTTACAGTTGACGTGGAAGTTGATTCGTGAAGGCCATGACTACACAATTTATTTTCGATACATTTATATTTATACTTAACACGAAATTCGTTTATGCAATAACGTAGTGAAGCTTGGAGGCGTTAGAGTGCGTAAGCATACATTCACTGCCTAACTATATCCTTGTGGTTACACATGCCGATTGGTCATTCCGGGGTCCGCCGCTTAATCGAAGCCGGTGTCTCTATTGCCAACTGTATGGTAACCAGCCATAATCACTTTAAATGCTTTAACACTTTAAAAAAAAAGTCGTACTTTAAATGTTTATTTAAAGCCTGAAACCGTGAAACTCATCGTTGTATTTACCTCCAAACACCTGCAAACGTTAAATATCTGGCAATTGCTAATAAGGGGCAGAGTGAAGACATACAAATTCACCAGCAGCACACTTCACCAAAGATTATTTCAGGCACTGAATTTCCACATCGTTGAAGGTTGTTAAATATCGTCAACTTTCTTAAACTACGACTATGCGCTTTAAAGGCGTAAACGCTCCTGTAGGCATTTTCTCAAATTGCCGTAGAAATTTAAAAGGCAATTACGGCTTATTGTGTATACCTTTCAGTCTGTAGAGCTCTAGGTACGTATTCGATATTAAATACCACTAATACACTAGGCCAGGTAGTAGTCATTCGAAGCCGGAATCATTTTTCGATTCATTCATAGCTTCACTTATTTTTATTATTGATAAATGTAAATGACCAAAACGACTTCCCTGATCACGTAAAAATGGAAATCCAAGTCTTATATAATGGAAGAACAATTAAGGTTAAACCATCGGTGAAACATTTATTTACCTGTTGAATGTAATATGAATGTAATATGGCGATCGCCGTAAAAGGTGAGGCAAAATTATGCATAGGGTTCGCTCCAGTCAGATCTTACTTCAGAAGGGCTTGGAATTCTGTTCCGTAATTTTTAAGTTGGAAACAAAGGAGGCTCACATAGGCTACCAATGAGACACTCTCATATAGTAGATCTCAAAACGCACAGCTTAAGAGTATTTCATTTTTTTAATAAAGCAAACTAAGCTCAACGGTTAGCAATTGCACGGACAAGCTGTGACAATCGAGACAAAAGTAATAATGGAACCTGCCATTGGAAATGTACCAACATCATACGTTTGAAGATATCGGAAGCATTATCGGTGTTAATCATTCTGCATCTACCTCCGTGTTAAAGAACGTTCTGTAAGTCTGAGGCTGCTTCATGGTTCTAAGTACCTTTACTTTACAAAATAGCAGCGTCCTTCTTTTGTCTATACTGGCTTCTTCTGTTTCATTTCTAAAAAGTAACGAAGGACGCTTGGTCCTATGTGTGGTTGTATAGCGAACCCTTCATAGAAACATTGTGTGCTGTTTTATCCAGGCACCTACAAGTATTAAGTCTCATCGTAAGATAATTGTGGTAGTTTGGTCAAGTACTGTTAAACCTGTTTTACCTGGTCCTGCGTAACGAACCTATTGGATCCCTTCCTGCTGAAATAATTCAGTAGAGAACCAATGGTCTCCATAAATAGTGGAAATTGAAACGTGGGCTCTCTCGTATATCGAAATTTCGAGCTGACATTATGGAAATGTTGGTAAACATGATCGAAACTATAGTACACAATGCGCCTTTCCATAAATGTTGAAAGTTGCCCTTTGTTTATATAGCCTCACCGCACACCCTGTATTATTTCATAACCCTCAGAGAAATAATAGACCAGCTCGTAATGCGAATTATATACATCTATCTGTTTTGATTGGAGCGAGGTTTCATTTCTTTTTCTTTTTTAGATAATATAACAGTTCTAGAAATAGTTTGCTACTTTTGTTTAACATGGGTTTGGTAAATCAGTAGTTAATGGCAGTGACAATTTTGCAAAGCTCAACAATAGTATGTCACACCATACTGGCACGCTCTAAAACCGAAATTGAATTACGTATGTATATATATATGGAAGGAGTCTGATAAATGCCGTGTAGCATCAATGACTAATGAAGCTGCTGTTCAGATTGCCCCGGAAAAATCTGCTGATACAAACAGTGCGATTTTCCCGGATATTTTAGACGGAGAGCTCAAGTCCGTGATACAGTCAGGGTAACGGGATTGGCATTACAGATATCCTTGCATCGTAAAGCCTAGCGAAAAGGCCCATAGTATAGTTTTCCATAATTATTTCCAAAGTGGTGAATTGTATGCGAATACGTTGTGTATGTTTATACGATGGTATCAAAACGCACAAATGTACGTACAGAAAAAGTTAATGAAGTCCCCGTACGTTGATGGAAGTAGTGAAGGTGTTAATAACAGGTGCACTCCATTAGGCTCCAGGCGTATTGCCCGCTTCTATATCTGGAACACCGAATAACCTTTTGCACCTATTGCAACACCACCCTCTACGTTTTGAGTTTTACGTTTGCTATCATCGTTAGGCATTCCATCAGGTGGTTGGCTTTTACCACGAAACAGTCAGTCTATGCTCGGGTTCGAACTCAGACCACAATGTACCCTTACGATTAGCTGGGAAATACGTTACCCAATAAACTATCATGGGGAGTTGAAAAACTACCCTAGAAAGTAAAAGGCCTTCATAAATTCACGAATAATCAGTATTAAGTTGACGGTACCAATTTTTTGCTAAAGTTTGTATTTTTTTTCAGCAGAAACCTATCTTTATTTATAATTAATAAATAGTTCTCAAAAAGGTGTTTAGAAAAACAGAATAAATCTTTTAAAGGGTGATCGAACTCCACTGTCGAGCCCTTGAGTTGCCTGCAGATAAAGTCTCTTAAAAGAAATCATGTGTATCAAATTAAAAAGTGAAAGGGAACGGTAAAAACTGTATATTTATACAAAATGTAGTAACCATAAAAGCTCATGCCATCGCGACAGACAAAAAGGAGGCTCAAGTTGCCTTTTTGCGTGTGAGCGTCACTATAATTGTATAACTTCGTGTTTAAAAATGCCTGACTTGAGATAAGACAGTGTGCTGTACTACCGTAATTGTCGTTTTTGCGACATACATACCCGAATTCTATCCGGAAGCGTGAAAAAGTACGCGAAAACCGAAAAGGCATCCTTTAATTACGCCATTGGAGAGATAGACAGCGGGTGATGTTAATTACCGGAGACGGCCCGTTTCGAGGATAGACCTCATTAATGTATTAAAGATATCACTAAAGACTGCTCTGAGGGCGAGTACTGATGTGAAGACTGTTATGGTTATCTTACTAATACAAAAACCATGAGATGAAGATGAATGTGACGACATCGAGTGTTTGCTTGCTATTGGAATGGAAGAGATGCCAACTGGTACATGAATATACGCACACCCACGCACATGGATACAATATGGTGTTCTATTCTATTATGAAATTCACTTCGCTATGTAGTCGTACATGCTTAGGGAGTTTGTAGTGTAATGTTTGATAGCGGCAAGCTAATGATGACGGTGCTTTCGTATCAATTCTTGTATGTGCTCGTGACTTTGTACTCTCATTAATTATTAAATATCGACGCATCGCCAATCAAATGTACCTACTGATAATGATTCATATTCAGTAATAGCACTTAATCACCTTTGTCAAAACGGCACACCATAAGATCGATCGTTATACATATACAATCTTATAACGGTCAAATCATTAAGAAGAATGATCTCGAATTTGTATGCTCTAACGAGAAAATTGATAAATGCAAATACTTGAGGCTATTTTTTTTTATTTAATCTTTGAATGAATAGTACATGAAAACGTTGTGAAAAAAAAATTCACATCACTCTTCGTAAGATAATTTAAGCCAATTTAATAATTTCGTCTACAGTAGTCATCAGGACTTTGCTGATTTAGATGTTGAATTTGCAGAAAAGACCTGCACTTCAATTAAACACGATGACCAACCAGTCAACGCTGCTGATCGTAAAATCATCAAGAGATTTTTCCCAAGCGCAATTGCGTTACGTTCCAGTGTTGTTTTAAACGCATTCCCCGGTTTAGTAATGAATTTAATCATCACACATCAGCACAATATCAGCACAAATGAGATAAAGCAGTACCCAAAATAGACTGGATTAGGTCCAGGTATAAAGAATACATTGTGGGTGCACAATTTGTAATCGCAGCGACTATAGAATCAGGACTAAGATTCAGCATTTCATAAAGTCACAAAGTAAGGGCTAGTACAAAGAATAGGAAACTGAGAAAAGGTTTTACCTAACCTAAAGAGTGAGTTACGGTGCAGCACTCATCGAAAGAAATTACCTAAACTTTCTACAACAGAATTTGACTAGGCGATATCTAATCAACATATTTTATCATATCACATAACCTTTTCTTGTGTTCATGATGAAAAGAGACGAAAGCAAAGTGAGAACTTGAAGAAATAGAAAAGCGATTCCACAAAGCTGACCATGACATATATATATATATATATATATATATATATATATATAGTGTTCAAGATAATCTGTCGCTTGGTTGAATTTCTAAGGAGAGTTTTGTAAAAAAAGCTCATTCGTAGGTGACATATTTATCGACAACGCTATGTGTTCCGTGTGAAAACCTCTTTATAGGCCAAATTCGTCCTGCTGTATGCGGTTTCATCATCAAATTGAACATCAGAACAAACACTGATCACAATGATGGCACAAGAGGTTTGTTTATTAATATGGTGTTGATTCTCATAGAAATACCTATCGTAAACGCTCCGCTAACATATTTTGGTTAATCTCATGTGCCCGTTAATCTACATATATTTATACACCTAACTATAATATCCGGGTAATGAACAGGCCCTTAAACATACTGTGACCTTCTGCTTTGTTTATTTCTCAAGACGTTTTTGACATGGTTTAGCATACTCAGGCTACGTTGGATCGGTGTTCAGTGTTCAAGTTGGTTGTCTGAAAGTTCGAGATTAACGTATTGATTATGCGGGAGGTGTCTCTGTAGAAACAGAAAATTAAACACTATTATCGAGATAAATTCCGAATGTGGCATGCTCTCCGAATTAGGCAGTTACTTTATTTTCATGGCGCTGATACACTGTAGCCATTACTCCGGTGCAATGAAACGGTCAGTTAAAATTTAATCTCCGGACATAGGCTACCTGCTAAATTTTTATTATGCTTGTGTGTCTGTGAATGCTTTGGTGGTTTCTATTGACAAAAGAATCAGGCCATCAGCACACCTATTCGACGACGATCGTCGATGGAACCTCCAAGGCTGTGAAAGCTAGAGTAGCTCAGGTCGAGATTAAGAAGATCCAAATGGAATGCAGATACGCGTCGTTTTTTGTGCGTTTCGCCCTGTTAATGGCGGCAGGAAGACAAAATATGGAATATTTATTATAGCGCTATATAAGAAACACATTTACTTAGCTCAGTTCCTCTTCATTCACTTCACGCAATGTATAAGGAGTATACGTATAATAATTACATATGTTACTTCTTTCCCACCAAATTTTGTATATATAACGCTATCCAAACAAAGACAAATTGTCTCTTCGCTTTTTCTGTCTTGTTGTCCGTATTTATTAGGTGTTAAGGTAGGTCAATGGGTAGGTCGGATATCGTGAATTGTAACGAAGTGAAAGCCGTCAATCTTCGTTAGAAATGCGTGGAGCTATTGACACCAATCTTTATACAGCTTTAGAGTCAGGTACTGGAATTGTATGTATAGCAAGCACTTTATATTAAGTATGTGCATATAAATGATGAACAGAAGCCGTCGCCGCTTTCCTGCGCAGGTTCCGGTAGTCGCTATCCTGGGTGGCCCGAGAAAAATGCAATGCAAGCCTTCAGTTGCAAAGTTCAAGCACATCTCTTCAGGCGACCTATTGAGAGGAGGCGAACAGGCGTACCATTGCAGAATAAAGACCTGATAAGTATACCTATTTTTAGGTGCTTAACCTTTTTCTTGACGAAGATCTACCGTCAACTTGAGAAATAAAGTTTTTATAACAATGGATGTCTTCGGTAGTACGTCCGTGGTAATGGAAGACATTAAAGATTATCACATTAAAACATAGGTTAACAGCGTACTAATTTCGGTTAGATTAACTTTTATATATTACGGTCCTAATTGTGGCGGCCATCAGAATCCCCGAATCATCATAAAATCTGGATACTTTATAACAAAATTTTACACTATAGACTAATGCGGAACATGTGTGAAAATATTCTATATAGTTTTAATACATTTAGTTTCCCATACCGCCTGAAAAATTGTGCAGTATAATTTTTGCCGTGCATAATTGTTTCTGAAATCGCGTTCGTCACAGTTAGGGTCGTGCCGTAATTGTAACAATTACAGGTTTGATACAGGTTTATATTACTAAATTATTATACACAAAACAAAAACTCCGAATCGAATTGGTTTTATATGTTCATTAAGTTCTAAAATTTTATATAGACATACAACTATATGAAGTGAGAAGCGGTTGGAATTCCCTCAACGTCTTTTAATTGCCGTCCCGTCGAGTAGTAGACGCCATTCAAGGCTATCAGATTTATCGTTTAATAATTTCAGAGCATAAGTGCATCCATGAGAGCGCCTATGCGTCTCTTTATATATATACATATATATATATATATATATATGTATGTGTGTATCACAATACGTTCACTATATTTCAAAGTGAAAAATTGCTTTATTTATTGAATAAGGTTAAACAATTACACAAAAGAAACCTTTACCTTTAAGAAACTTATCCGGAACCCAATTTTAAGTGAGTTCAGTTGATAAAAATAGACGAAAGATAAATGTTTCGTTTTTCTTTTATTAACGGCATGTTTTATTAATGTACAAGAACAAGCATCAATATCGCTAACATTTCTGCTTTAAAAACAGCGCTTCATCCATATACGGTATGCAATCCGAATTAATACTCACATAATATGCTTATTTATCTAGTCAGTAGCCTATATTAACGCACAACAACGGGCTTGATGTTTCGCTACCCGTGAGTTTCCAACAGAAACATTTTTTGACAGCCTTTGGGAAACTAAAGTGCGACAGCGTGTGCTAAAGACAAACGCGTTGATTGAAAACCTGGCAAAAAACGCGACGCGGCTGAACTTCAGAATAACAAAAATATGGACTTCCCTCTCACGTAAGTTTTTAAAACGAATACAATATTAAAAGCTACAGAAGATTAGTATTAGCTCAGAAGTTAGGCGCCATCGAGTATTTACGTCCGTATTTAATTGGTACACACCCGAGTATTTAAGAATTCTTTGCCACACTTCAACAGTCTTGATTCGCGGTGGTTCAACCTCCTATAAGAAATAAATAATCTGATCCCATATGGTAGTGGATAGCTATTATATTACTATACCGACACAAATATAGTCTGGGCAACGAAAATGGCAGCGGTATTTTGTTAGACCTTAGGAACCGTTTGCAGGTTCAGAGGCTTGTAAACGGTTTTATATTACATTTCTTCTTGCACCTTATCTAATTATAAATTTATAAATTTTTTTTTAAAAAAAAAATTATAAATTTTCGAATGATCAACCACCTTATGAACGTACCCAACATTGTCAGACACTATTTCTAAATTCTGGTAAGATTCAGATTAACATCGACCAAAAATATCATTCTCATCGAAAGAAGTTGGCTTAAAACCAAACAAATGATTCTTTTGGTTGTCGGTTTTCTAAGAAATAGTAATAATTAGCCCTATCAAAAAAAATTAGTCATGTATTTACGTCAAAATGATCTGGTATGCATTGTAGCGCAACATGGACATGTTCATCTGCGGATCACTCATGTTGCGCGAAATTAAAAAGTTTATTTTGACTATTAATTTTTTGAACGTATTTTTTTATACCCTGATTACTTGCTCTTTAGTGCTGTTATTCTTATCATAACTGCGCATGTCTTATGCAATAATTGTCGTTCTTATTTTTATTTTCCAATTTTGTATCAGGGCCCATCGATTGTCTTCTACTTGGTTGTAACAACCATAATACACTGCCACAAATTAGTAATTTCACAGAACCTCGTATCTTCGACGAATAACATCTTTTACTACTAGAGCCCGTCAAAGGCAATTCGTTCATTCTACACACAAAGCCAAAAGCAAAAATTGTTCGAAGCTAGAAGCCAGACGGATAAACCTGGCAACTATTTCTTTAAACCTAATTGTATTATTATAAAAATTCATAAACACAGTATATAATTACAATTACGATACTTATTAAGAAAATTATACTTTTTGTATTATTATATATATAGGAAAGAAATGTTTCCAGGTGTACAAAGGATTGTTTGACCAAGTGATTGCTTCACGTCATGCTGATTTTCTTTCTTTACTTATCCTTTATTTTCCTTCGTTGAACGCATCCATATGAGCAGCCACTTTTAGAGCTAATCACTTTGTTCTATGCAAATATAGTTATTTTTTTTTGTGTTAAATGGGAAAAATTATATTCTAAAGTTGTTACGCTTCGTTCTTCCCACCCGTAGCCAATGGTGGTGGCGGCGTTGCTACTATGGAGCTTTCTGTACTCGACGCGCCAATGGTCGCATCAACTCGTTGTAATCGGACAAAATGCCTTTCGATTTCTACCAGACTCTTTCCTTTTGTTTCGGGAAGTTCCACCAAAAAGATGGTCGCTAATACCAGCGTTATGGTAGCAAACACGGCATATGTGCCAGCTGCACTTAAAACTGTTTGGATTTTGCTCCATTGATTGGTCACCAGGAAGGCGCAAGTGTAGTTTACACTAGTTGCCAGTATGCTTCCGTAAGAACGGCATCTGGAAAAAGCAAGTTGTGTTAGCAAAGGTCAGGTGGAAGCTGAATACAAGATAGGTTGTCTCCTGAGTTCACTAGATATGGTATCTTCATATAATTAAACTGAGCTCAAATCGAAGGAAGACACTCACCGTTGGGGAAGAAGTTCACCCATCATAACCCAGGCGACAGGTCCCAGTCCAACTGCAAATGCTATTGCGTAAATCGACATAGCTACGAGAGGAATCCAACCCCATTGACCCGACGGCGACTAAAAAGGAAAACAAACTCCGGTTAAGTTTACAACAAAACTAACATGGGTAAGCTCTTACTTTATCACTGTGGGGACACAGAGAATGATTGCAGTGAAACAAATCGTGAAAATGAAAGTTTTCAAGATTTCTACTAAAAATGGACATGCTTCACCCACTGGACTCAGGAATACGCACCTTAAGCTCAATAAAGTAGACTACCATGGTATAAAGGGAAATGGAGACAAGAAACGATGAACCCAATAATAGATACCGACGGCCGTAGCTGTCTATCAGACTCATGCTTATTACAGCGCCAATTACCTAAAACGGAAAAAACACGTTTTCAAACAAAAAAAAAACTTAACTAGACCTCCAAATGCGTCATATAACAATGCCATTTTATTTTCTGCCATTTTGTTTATTAGGACGGCGAGTTTTTTTTCTCGGCTTGAACTGGCTAGCTCGTGTCAGCTGTAGAGGGCATTGAAAATTACTGATTGAGTTCCTCACCCCCAGAGCTCCATAGATGAAAAAATAAAACTACTACGTTACTGAAGTGGCAATGGTCTCAGTAGAAATATGAAATTTGTGTTATTTAGAAAGTGCATGTAGTTAAAGCCTCACTTTCTAAGCTGTAGTACTTAGAGATGTAACACTACTGTGCTCAGACGATCCTGGCTTGACTAACTTATTCAAAAAATGGTACTAGACTATTACTAATTATTTCTGAGTGGCTTCCACAATTTTTCTTCAACAACAGTTTCAGTTCATCAAACACAGGGTATCCAACGAGAAGGTCTAGATCTCCAAGTCTGTACGTTGGGAACTGCCAAGTAGAACCCTTGTCAGGTCGGAAACCGTGAAGAAATAACACAATTTACGAAAAACAGTTTTTAAATATACATAGTTGCGTTACTCTTTGCTCACTTTAAGTTTTTTTTTGACTAAGTAAAGATTTTATTTCTTAAAGTCTAGTGACTGTTCCAATTTTTAATTACATGTCAATGTCATGATATCCAGACTTCCTTTGCTGCGTCTACGACCGATACTCGATTCTGACTATGAATCTATTGTTAGGACTTCGCGTGCTTCTATGGATGAACATCCATTGCAGTTTGAAATGAAACTATATGGAACTCTAATTGGTATATGCAGAGAGAAAAGAGCTATGGATATTAAATTTCGTGTACTTCTGCAGCACTAATTCTCTGGCTCAAAGGTTTCCGGTAACAACTCACTTTAAATCATGATAGCGATGTAATTCCGGTTGTAACACTTCAAAAGTGAGCGTCGAAGTAGGTTTACTAAGCCCCGCCTCAAGATTCTCCCACCCTTTTGTTGAATTATTGTTATACCCTTTCATTCACTTTATTTATTAAATACGGTGCTTGCATCTTTAAAATCATTAAAAGACTTCCCCAGTGTCTGTGGAATATTTGAGTTTAGGAATGCTCCCCTTGCCTTTTGCTACTTGCTGTTAATCATAAAGATGTCGACTTTTATCGTGTGCAGCTTTACTTTCCCGAATGATATCTTCGAGGCTATCCGCAACCTAAATAGCTCTATTAAAAAATGATATCTAAATTAAAGAAATATCTGTTACGCAAATTGATACGTAGTAGCTACGACATAAATACTCATTACCATGCAGAATTACATTGGAACAAAACATACTCGTGAATGCGAGGAGTATTTCGGCAAGTTTTGTAGATTGTTTTATACCATATTAACAGCAACGTAATTCAAATGCGTTCTGCATGTTTCGGCTTCGACTAGTATGTCAGCAAGCGTGCACTAGATAACACTGCATGTCACCATAGCAATTAAATTTACCTCTTCCTACTTGATGCGTTATTCGATCGACTCTGAATTCATTCACAAACGATTTACACTACTGACCTGTTCTAATCCGAAGGCAACCATGCAGGTGTAAGCTGAAAGGGAGCTACCAGCCCGATGGAAGATATCCTCGGCGTAGAAGACAACTGCGTTCACAGCTAAAAAAGGGATACGCAATAGGTATTCGGTATGTCATCAGTTCATTTGGCTTAAAGAGGGCTGCGTATTTATGTTGATTTTTCTATAATGAAGATATAGAAGCTACTATTGTTGGACAAATAGGTTCAGGCTACACAAAGGATACACAATTCCGTAGATATACTTTGCAAGGTACCAAATATTAGGCTACTACAAGCGGATTAAACGGACTTTGAGATTTGTAACTTCTGAACCACGCGCGCTTAGCAGACGGAATTAGGTGATAAATACTTGCATTACGTGAAGATTATGAGTGATACCTGTTGAATTTACGTTAGGATAACTGAGTTCTAAAGGAAAAGATCTTTTAGTTTTGAAAATCAGCGCTCAGTAATCAAGTTTTCGTCCTTCGAAGGTTATAGCCCTGTAGAAATCCATAAAAGATTGGTGAAAATATTGGACAAAGAGGCTTTAAGCAGAAACCCAGTGCTTGGTTAATGTAAACCTTTCAATAACCAAAATCAGAGTTTGAAGACCAGCGAGGAGACAACCAAATATAGGGACCCGAAGGACAAGAACGCATTGCCGCAACCGAGGAGCGTTTTCATAAAACAAAAGTTTGAAGCCTAAGGATTCTGTCGTACAAAACTGGCGTTTTATATGCCACATGCTACAGAATTATGACCTAAATATTGAGCATACGGAAACTAAGCAAAAAAAAGAGTCTTTTTCATGGCTCAGTCTTTATTGCCAGCCGAAAAAGGACCAGGCGAGAGAATGGCGTCACTCTGGAGAGAAATCGACTTCCATAACAATCTCGGGTAAGTTCAGTGAGAGTGGTACTTGCAATGAACATGAGGTGCATCTACTACTATGAGATATCGTCCAAGAATTAAAAGAAATGAACGTAGCCCGCTATATCGGATTCTTTAAAAGATACATCGATCTTTGACACGGCAACCTAGTTGCTTGATGACAACGCCAGACCTCATCGCTATGCCTCAGTTACTTCCTGTATTAAGCAAAAGAATACCCAACGTTAAATTCAACCTGCTTATTCTCCTGATCTAGGTTCGTGTGAATACGGAGTTCTCCATGCCCTAAAAAGGGCAACTGCTGGGCAATTATATTTCACATTCGATTTACTTTGAGAAGCCGTAGAGAAATTACACGTAAGAATTAAATGTATGGCTATTTATAAGCTGGCAGAGCGCTGAGAAAAGTGTGTCAATATTACTTAACAACAAATATTAAAATCACTATTCTAACCCAACTATTTCAAAAGTGATTCAATTCTAAAGCCCGCCGGCTTCGCTTGTAACAGTTTAATATATTAAATGTAAATACACATCTAGATATGAGTACTCCAGCCACCTAAAAGCCAAATCTTTAGACTGGTAAGTGGCCACGGTCTGCTGCTCCATTTCAAAGCTACCATACTTTGTTACTATACATAAAAACTACTAGCAGGGCCCTACTGTAAGAAATTATGCGATTTTTTTGGTAGAATGCACTCGTGTTGTCATTTAGGAGTGAAAACAGTAAAGATTATAATATTTTCAAACCTACCGGATCCTTGTTGGGCGACCATTAAAAGCACAGATAGAAGAATGGGTTTAGTGACTGAGATTTTGTATATATGATCAACACTGTCAGCCATTATTGGTCCCTGGAAAATTAAAAAAATTTAGTAAAACATAGAACTAATGGCTATCTACAATATAGATGTGTCATTATAATCCATTAATACAAAAAGATGGCTTTTATCGTAATTCGCAAGACATCGTTTTTAAAATAACTACTTTTAGTCTATAGTTGCATGGTAGGAAGTGTGGAGTGATACCTGTCGTTCACTAAGTCCTTCTTGTCGCATAATTTCAGATGTAACTTGATCACAGTCGCCCCAAAGAAACAGAAGAGACTGAAACCAAATGATATAACAAGAACGTAATTGGTCATGAGACAATGTAACCCCCTACAAGCATTACAGCCTGTGAGTCGTAATAACATTGGTCCTACATTGAGTTGGACACTCCTACATTGCAGCATAGCAAAGTAAATCACATTGGTAAAAATTACTTGTTTTACCGTAATATTAATTTTTACTTTTTTGTCTTAAGCAGTGGATTGACTAGGTATGCTCATATGAATGGAAATTTTCAAGCTATAGCTCATTAAGTGCATAACCTAGACTACCACTATTCACTCTTGAAATACAACGCCCTCGCAATTTATTTTTAAAGAGTTCACTGGGGCACAGCCATCGAAGACTCAACAAAATGATGTAAAAGATAGATTAGTAACGTTTAGTTTGTCGAACTAATCGTGGTTCTGATAGCAATAGCTAAGTTTTTTTTTCGTTTCGAATTTTTATTAATAGGGCCCGTTTTTTAACTCTGAAGAGGAGAAACGATTATAATAAATAGCCTGAAGCATTCAGTACAGAATAAAACTAAAGGCTCAAAATAATGAAGCAATGATATACGAACAAGGGGGTTGAGGAACTGGTAATGAAAAGGTTCATTATTTTACTCTTCTTAATATTATTCTACCTTATGAATAGACGTACCTTAGTCGCTTTAGAATGCTGCTCTCTACTGAAGTACCACGCTGGACTCTCAACAGAAAACAGCAGTAAAATGACGGTTAAGCTGGCGAAGACCATTCCAAAGAGAGCAAGCCATTTCCAGGCACAGAAGTTGGCGACAATATACATAGTTAGAAGTCCGGTAGCAACAAACAGTTGGACGGCCGAAGTGAGAGAACCCCGGACTGCTGGAGGCGACACCTCCGATAAATAGATAGGACCAATCAGTGACAGAACACCTGGACAGATGTTCAATTATGGTGATAATTAGGAAGCGCGGTGAGTAATAATCAAGCAAATTATCAATAACCTTACCCACATTACCGCTATATTTCAATACTAAAAACGTCAAAGTATGATATTCGTAAAAACCATAATAGCTTTAAGACAGACAAACATAACAAGTTATTTCAGACAGTCTAATATGCTGGACGTACTTATGAATATATGAAAGGAATTGTTTGACTGGAACAATTTAGATTAGATTTAACTACAAGTGAAAAATCATGGACAAATTTCGTGACAACAACTCTCGAAAATTAGCATTTTTGCCAATTTGTTGAAAGTAGTTTCGAATTTGTTTTTCTGTACCCATCGTTTAGTAACATAATTACTTATTGAAAGTTAACCTGTAAACACACTAATAAATGCGTGATGTAATAAATGGAAAAAAAAACATTATGAATGTAAACGAACCACATACAAGGTTGCATGGAACGGTGATATCTCGAAGGTATTTCGCTTTTAAACTACCAGTTCCCATTTCTAACGAACAAAATTTTTGAAAGCGCTGTAAATTAGATAAAATAACTAACAGGCCACTTCTTTTCGCTGAACTAACTTGTAAATTGCACGGGGATGTTCTAAACTGTTGAAAAAAAAATCTCCTTTATCTCATGTATTACGATTGACCTCATCTGATGTTTACTTTCGCTAAATAAATTAGGTTTAAATATTAAGGCAAGCAAACCGAAATTTTCCTATAGGAGTTTCGGGAAGAACTATGGTCAGTATGACATATTTTCGTTACTTGTAGCAAAATCTGGTACTCACCAGCCGACCTGATTTAAAGGAAAAGCCATTCACTCAAGCTATTTTGGCTGATAGACGAAAAATGTTGGATCCATCGGAATTCATCAATACATTTAGAATGGATAAAGACATCCAGACAGGTAACATACCTGTAGTGAATGTCTTTAGTAAAATTCTGAATTAAACACGTAGAACCAATCAGTGCAAATCATACTTTGGTTGAAGTAGCGAATTCATGTGCAAATTATTCTGGTTTTGGAATGCCCTGTTAAAAGTACACTGTTAATGTGCCTCAGACTCTACAAGAACTGACTTCAGATTCCACAGATTTTAGCCTTAAGAAATCAACAGCGACCTATATGTGGTATGTTCCTTCTCAACTATGCAAAATACACTTTAGCCGTTTCATTTTAAAAGTCCTATGTTAGAGTCCCAATTATACATAATAGATTCCTTGGATTCTGTTCAATCTAATCTTTTAAATCAAAGATCTGTAGTTATTATCGACAAGTCAGATAAGGTATAGATGACTAACCTGTAGAGTATCCACAAATAGCCCTTCCGGTGAGCAACCATGTGATTGAAAATGCGCAAATAATCGTCTGCCAGCCGGCGATCATTCCTAGTGATGCCACGATTAGTGTCCACCGTCTACCCATGTAATCACTGAGCACACCTGTAGAAATACATACTATACTTAGGCTTTCATAAAATAAGCAGAGTTTCCACTCGAAATGCCAAAATAAAACATATGTTATCAATTTAATATGTGCTTCTGGATCGTCTTTAATTATCAACTTGAAACACAATCTATCTACAAATAACTTAAGAATAAATTTATATATGGCTTAAAATATCCTATTCTGAAATAAGAGAAAATGAAAATTTGAATAATTTGTAAAGGAAGCTCAAAACGCAGGCACTTATTTTAATATGATTTAACGTATATAACTTGTGTGTTTACACACGCGTACGCGTGCGTATACATTATTACTGGTAAAACTCCTGAGAAACATTGGATAGCGTAGTTTTTTATTTGTATAAATATTAATCGGTACCCGAATTAGACATGCTATAGCTGAAATACAGTTTTATGTGAAAAGATGTCAATAAAAAAATTCCTGTAAAACTAAAAAAATACATATTTTTGGGCGAAGCTAATTTGAAGCTGCGCATTAAAAAGCTTACTTAGTAATATCCAGCTTATAGCCGAAAATTGAAGTACACTAGGTTTCGAGCTAAGCTGATTTCAAGGTATCAACAAACAAGAAACTTGACCTCGGTAGCCCTTGATAAGTTGGTCTGTTTCCTGCCATAATCATAGATTGCGAATGCCCAGTTGGATAGAACCTACCTCCAGTAAGAGCTCCAACCAGTCCACCAAACATGAGTATACTGGCTAACCACTGAAATTGCTGCTCTGATATAGGGAATTCGTCCATAGCAAGCATCGAACTTTTCGCAGGTGCTGAGTACCCATAGCAGGTGCCCATTGAGAACGAACTCAGCCATACAGCCGAAGCCGCAATGAGGTAATTATACGATTTCACGCCGTCCGAGCGGACCAGTAACGCGGTGTCGAACTCCATTGAATTGAATTCCTTTGCTATTGAAGTAGCGAAGTGGGAATACGTGGAGTAGTTGGCATATGTCAACTTTCTAGACGAATTTTTCGACGCTGATCGTGTAGTAAGGGACAAACCCTTTTGAATGCATGACAGAGTTATGTATTTTCTAGCAGAACGTAAATTAATCGTTTGGGGTTACCCCTAACTATGACCAAGCAAGAAAACGCTTATTTATATGTTACACGATAATACATATGCATAGGTACACTGAAATACGTGTTGTCCGTTCTTAGATTAGACACAATTCATTTTCTAGTGCAACCACTGAGTGCATTCGTCAAAAGGATTGTCGGTATTGTCATGCTTCACGCTTCTTTTTGTCGTCTTCGTCCGAAGTCAATGTGAATTATAATAGCCGAGCCTTTATCCGCTTTCTAGCCAGTGCCACTCGAGATAACAGATAACGGAACAATCATGATGCTAGCAGCAGCTTGCCTGAAATATATTAAATATAGACGTATTACCGATTATTTGCGTGGTAATCGTATTATATTGCGGATTTGTTTGCATATTGTAATGATGCACTGATACTGGCACAAATGCGATACATTCATAGTACCTCTATAGCAATAGCAATGGAAATACTTATAACTTGATATATTATTGCTACGCGCCATAATACTTGGCCACGCGGCCCACATGAGTGTTCCAACACACGATCCATGACAGTCCGCGCTCTGGGCTATTTCTTCTTAAAGAATGCCAAACCTCCAGACCTGCGAGGACACTCGATTGAGAACTAACCAAGGTTTACTGTATCAAAGTTATCCAATCATCTACAACATCTTCGTACCGTCTCTGGAACACTGCAGTACCTTTTGTTTGCTCAAATCAAATCTCTTGATTCTGCTGAGACTTTCCCGCGTTGTCTTGCTTGTACGTATTCTCTGTGTTCAACCGATCGCTTCTCTAATTGCAGGTTGCACCGAATAGCGGCAATTACACGAGTACATGCGTGTATTCCCTAAGCTTTAAACTTTAGCAACCCAGCCACCGACCTCCCAGTCCGAGGCTATATGCCGGGACCGATGGGAAAGCACTTTAGTACGCAGTGTACAGTCTTCCAAATGCTTGCACGTCCACCCGTCTTCTCGGAATAACAGACCATGCTGGCGGCTTCAAACTGGGGTTGCGCAATATGTTGGCTATGTAGACTGTATAGTTTTTATTTGTAATCGCTCTTCAATCGAATAGAAATCGCTTCACATAGACTTTAGCCTGATAGACTAGTCTCGTCTTATTTTGTTCTATACAGAATTACTTTTTAATTTCAATTCATAACCTTACATTTTTATTTAAAGTTTTTAGCTTGCGCATAGTCGGCCTACTTTGCACTTCTGTCGGCAGTAACATTACACTCTTTACTTGTATAATATTTGATTTGGTTCCCGTTACTCCTATAGTAAACTACTTAGAGTGTTGCTGCTGCAAAGCTTTAACAAAAGCAATCAAGGGCATCCGGGCATATGAGTGTCCGTGTAACAAATAATAGTTCTACACCGCCAGAAAATGATAGATCTTGGAAGCGTAGACCGTTCACACTCAAAGAACTTACTTGCCTGAAATAAGCTCAATAAATGTCGAGGAATCCGAAGTTCAAATTGTGTAAGCTGAAGAAAGTAGTGATGCTGCTTCAATATTCATTTTGCTCTATAAGAACAAGAAGCAATCTACATTCTAACCCAAGTATCAAATTATTGCTAAGACCTCTGGTGCGAACAAACTGAAGCATCAGGGACAGCAAATATTGGTGACACATCCCATATGAGTTTCTGACTACCAGTCGCACCTAGTTAAGTGTCCTGCAGTTTCTTCATCCAATTTTACTTGAGAAATGTTTCTATTTCCTCGTATCATTGAAAATGTGGGTGATTCTACGCAGGCGGTCCACGTTTGTGTCGGCGATTCTCGCCAGCTAATACCCCAATCAATGAATAGTCGTATCCAGTAACTCCCCTTAATCACCCCCTGACACTACTTCCAAAGCGTATGTCACTAGTCGGAAATTCAGATAAATAGATTGATTCCGAACAAATACATATAATGAAATCCTGCTTAGTCACTACAACCGGACGCCCAAACGATACGGTCATTACTTGGTACTTACGATGAAATGCCAACTATTAAGCAGCAGCTACTGTGATTTCACGTCTTCTGCTTAGGCTAACTTCACAAAAAGGTTTAAAAATAGAACGCTAGTCCCGAGAACCGTGTTGTCTTATTTTTAAAAAAAAACTTCGCTGTTATTATTTAACTAGCTCTTGTGAATTTACGTCCTTCAATATGAATGTTTTTCGTACTGAACAGATTGCACTCGAAACTTTGCAGTTTCTTTCATTCTCAAAAATTTCTATGTTCGCGTGTAACTTTACTGGTTACCACGTTTGTCACATGACGCTGTTCAAGAAAACTGTGAAACAAAAAAGCTACGAAAAGGCCTCGCTTAGCGTAAAAGAGCAATATACAACATTCTCGTTCGAAAGGACTCAGTTGTCAATGAAAGTTGATTGATGAACTGCTTATATAAGAAATATATTCGACGTTTCTAGACCTTGGCGATTGTACGACAAACGTTATCGATTATATTATATTTGCGCATAAATAATGAATAAACCCTTTCATGAACTCTCTCATAATTCATTTAGCCTGAACGCAAATATTTTCCTCAAATTGTTATGTAAAATCCGAAATGTTTGAAATTCAAATCATACTTTGAGCCAAATATATGCCACAAATGTAAGTGTCCATCTGTCAGCATGATCTCGCAACAGCCAGTGGTGCCAGACTGCCCAGTGTCTTTGATTGAAAATGTCGGGCACAGCGAACCGAAATTCCACATTAGCATTGTTATGCCTTTCCGGAGACGATGCGATTTACGATATTGTTCAGTGGTTCCCAGAAGGCAGAAAGAGAAGTAACAAAGCTATTTGCCCTTTAAAGACCTGAGGACGACGTTAAGTCTCGCCTATTCAACTTGTAGTCGCCGTGCGTATTTTTTTTTTGCGTATCATGCTGCTACTTAAGAATGATTCACGAGCAATGGTCAGCTCCATTTCATTTTTATGTTAACCTATATATTAATGTTCTGAAGATAATTTAAAGTATCCGGTTGATCGACCAGATATGCACTAGCTTGCCATTGAGTGGTTTAATTTTTTCTTAGTTTCGAATAAGACTGGAAGCGTTGGGCTTATAAGTAGGCGCTTCATCCGCAACATCCTCCAATGGTATGAGGCAATTATTCTTTTCAGGTTTCTGGAGGAAACTTATACATTATTTATAACACCGTTACAAGCGAAATCGATAAAACTTTGCGATTGAATAACTTTTGAACTACGCATCACCAGCAGATAAAATTTAGCTGGTAAATGCTCCAGTACTCTAGAAACCTCTTAGACAAAACTAATTGGGTTTGCCTCGGGAGACACGAATTTAGAAAGAAACTATCTTTTAGCCTCCAAAATTAACATCTAGCGGTGAAAATTTTGGTCCTCGAAAGCCACAACGCGCATCGAAGGTGGGTAAAAATATAAGACAGGACGGCTCAAAGTGAAAATACAATACGTAAATGGCTCACACGTTTCAAAAACGGAGATTGGAATTTTGTAGATCAGCACGGAGGAAATTAGATGCTGGGACCCAAAGGACAAGAACGTATTGCCGCAATGAAACAGGCTTTTCACTACAGCACAGTTTGGAGTTTTGCGGTTCCATCAGCCAAAACTGGCATTTCACATGTAACGTATTACGGAATTATGACCTGAATATAGAAAATGTGGGATTTAATTAAAAATAGGTTCTCCGTGCATTATCCTCAGACCAATTCCACGTATATTGCACGTGCAATTTGTAGACTTCTAATCAACAAAGAACTCACCTGGAGCATACGGTCGTCATATACCAGCCATAGTTCAATCTTTAACCAGTTGGAGAGTAAAAGGGTTGGTGAAATCGAGTTCGGTGCCAATATTGAATAAATCCGGACGTAAGTGATGATAGTACTTGACATGTATAGCACAAATATCTGCTGCTATAAGGTAAAACAAGACAATGAATGTAGTCCACAAGCTGGAGTTCCTTAAAAGATTCATGGACCATTGGCTTAGGAGTCTGGGGCACGCGGTCTGATTACTTTATGGTGATGCCAAGCTGCATGGCCATTCCTAAATTACTTCCTGGATTGAGTAAAGTAATATCCAGCATCAGGTTCAACCCGCTTATTGTGCAGATCTAAGTCCGTGTGATTATGGGGCTTCCCATGCCCTAAGATGGATAAACATATCCTACTATCAGTTTACTTCGAAAAACCGTAAAGAAATGATATACGAAAGCGGATGTGTCATACTTCTGAGTCAAATAGCTTGTGTCATTCCTCTTATGCTATCATTGTGCTACCGTTGGTCCGCTCCGCCCTTGCAGTTGCCTTACTACATAAAAATTAATTTTAACTTTCAGAATATAACGTAGATGTGATGATGCTTGAGAAATTAAGTAAGTTTTGTAGCAGCATCGGTATTTTTTTAAATTCTCAACTCATTGGACCTGATTACAAAACACGAACTCGAAGAATTAAGTATTTTTACAACTCTTCTTTTTTGCATTTAATTTAGCCAAGTATTTTAAAACAGATAAAATTGAGCCCATCGAAGGATCCATTTATATAGTTTATCGTAGGAATAACCAAAAAATAGTTTCCTCTCTGTTTAAATTAAATGCTATGAGAACATTTTTAGCATTTTTAATAACAAAGGCCTTGTTATGTCTTCGGTTGTAATAAAAACGCAGTCAACATCTATCGTAAGATAAGCATAAGAATCTTAGAGTTATATTAAGTAGGAGTAGTATAGGTGGTGTTAACAACGAAAATTACTATGGCCGCTACAGACACCTAATAACTCTCTAAGTTTATACGATAAGCAAAGTCGTAATAGTAAATAATAAGCCTATTTCCTTTGGAACATTGACGATCACCAGAACGAATTTAAACTTCAATAATTTCTTGACATATTCTTTCTATAGTATCAGGGGCATATAATCCCGTTACTTATAAACATTTCGTGTCTATAGTATTAGTAAATGTGACAATAGTTTGGAATGATTTTTAACCTACGTAAAAAACTTTTTTACTGGCAGACTGTTTTATGCATGACATAAAGTATACTCATATAGATAATAGATAATCGCTGCAATTGAAAGACTAATCTCTAAATTCAGAATGATCCCATTCTTCATTGAAAATCTCAGCGATCAAGAACGTTATGAATTTTGTAAACCTCGTAATTTATATTAAGCTATATCCTTACTATTACACTACGGTACCTTATGATAGTTTCTAATATGAAAATTTATTACAAGTGTAGAAACTATAAACAATTTCTCTTTGATGCTGCAAAAGATTTTAGAATAATTGACAGCACGTTCTTAATAACTCAGACATTACTGCTGCGTGCAACACGTTATCTGCGCTTTCTGTCAAAATAATACATACATACTCGTGCAAGTTCACAAAACAACCACATGAGTTCTACAAGCCTTTTTTTCAATTGAAAAATAAGCTTGTTTTATGCTCCTATTTTTCTTTAAAGCAAGTACTTCCAATAGATAATAGAGAGTTGAATGAACAGTACGCTACTAAATATGATAGTGTGCCTTACTCGCAGGCATTTACTCTGTAATCGGCCGTTATCTTTGTAATTGTACTTTAGTAGGCCTAATAAGACAACTCTATTAACTTTTACTAGTCAAAGTATGGTTTCTTGATAAGGCTCATCAAGGTCTTGGAGAAATGTGAAATAAAGGAAATGACTGAGTTCGGGAAGAAAAATATCAGCTCAATTCGGCAACAGAGCGAATTAACGATTCTTTCATTTCACACATAAATATAGATTTCCGCAAACACCGAACTGAATTTGACCAATGATATTAATTCACATACACAAACCTGTAGGGATTTGACGAATGCTTTCGCAGAAAATTAACAATTTAAGGTTTTGTATTGCTTTATTGCAAAGTTATTATTACTGTAAAGCTATTGTTATTATTATTACTATTGTTATTATTATTATTATTATTACTATTGTAAAGTTATTTGAAGTTTTTTTTGTATTGCTTTACTGTAAAGTTATCGACAGAAGACAGAGTCGGCAACCTGCAAGTTTCTTATTGAATATATTTATTTATACGAGGTTTTGTTGTACTACTTGCACAGTCAAAACATGACGTAAATAAATGCAAACCTTTTCACACTAATTACACACAAAAGTACACACTGAATACCTGTGATATGTTTGCTTGCAAATTCACATAGCACTCGTGTATATTAAAATTTCATAAGAAGTCCTGGCACCACTAGCATCGTTTATTGCACTATGCGCCTAACAGCCAGCACAGCTGCTAGCTTTCAGTAATATTTATATGCACTATAAACCGAGTTAGGTGTTTGTGTTCGACGCTAAACGTAGAGCGATGCCATCGCGCATTTGCTGGAAGCCAAAACAAACCTTGTCCTCCGGGTAGACAAAAAGGTGAACTGACTCGGTTATTAGTTGAATTCAATTGGTTCTTTTCGTCAGTGTCTGTGTGGATTCTTTAAGGATCATTTCTTTAAAATGAACCCGATCCTGCGTGCAGGCCTATACGGCCGTTGTTTGGCCATGCCGGAATCTCTGGCGTTGCAACAGGCTTTGAGGACCACATCGACACTCGGTCCTACGGAACCATTTTTCAATCGGCAAAAGGCGCTCAACCGACCTCTCAGTCCACATCTAAGTATTTATAAATGGCAGATCCCGATGGCGATGTCAATCACGCACCGAATTACCGGATTAGGTTTGGCTATGGGAGTTTACGGTTTTGCGTTCGGCGCCCTTACTATGAAGGGTAAGCATTTAGTACACTTCCTTAAAAATTAACGTGGGTAAAACCATTTAGTACTAATTATGTTTATTCAATAATAAAAGAGTCGGAAATATTTGAAAAGTTCTACAGATGCTATATATAATAGCGTTTTGTTCCTTTGGCATCGTCGTATAAAATATATTATATACTACATTACAAATAACGAGCTATTTAAAAAAAAAATAAACATAGCTTTTTTTTTATAATAAGGTAGCTATGAATTTAATCTTAAAACACACGATTAAAGAGAACGTTTTGTCTTATTTACCAGCCGTCTTATTTAACCGTTGCTGTTAACAGGCGGTGGAAAGCTATGTAAGTTGTCCACCGAGTGTTTTACATTATGAAAAGTTATAATTTATTATTATAATTATTATTATAATTATGAAGAGTTATTAGGCTTTCCAGAATAGAATTTTTCTTTAGGTACTACAGAAAAAAAAGTTATAGACAACCGGTCAAGCTTTTAGCCGGAGTCATCTTTTTTACAAACATAACCGCTATATTTTGGAGAAATTATGAAATTAAATATAAATTACAAGTAATTTATTTAAAAGTATACATATCTTATGTGGAAGGTGAGGAAACGTTTTGATGTAAGAAAACATCAGTCAGACTAAAACATCAGTCAATTGCTACTGACCCTATCCTGTAGACTGTAAAAAGGTAAACAAACCAAGCCCAAAAAGGAAGACTCAAAACCTTTCTTTTGTAATAGCGTGTGCGTATGACGGCTTGGGTTACCCTCGATTTAATTATCTAAGTTATGACCGGTGCATTGTCGTCTTTAATTGTGTTGTTTATCTATCTGTTGACGATAATTATTATTACAGGCCAATTCCCTGAATGCGTAGCTGCCATACAGGCGATGCATATCTCACCGGCCCTGATTATTCCTACTAAACTAGCTGCATCAGGCACCTTATTCTACCACTACCTTAATGGAATTCGACATCTCTGTTGGGATTTAGGCTTCGGCTTCAAGGTCAACGAAGTGTACACCTCTGGCAAGGTTGTTTGTGCTTTAGCGACGGTCGCAGCTTTTTACGCTACTTTCATGCTATAGACACAGAGAAAAATTTTAGACAGCAAATAATATAAAAAGAGCAAATTGATGTGGAGTGGAATACGGCCAGTTTGCATTCTGCCCTAGCGAGGGCAATTTGAAGTAGTCAAACAAATACATCTAAAATAAAACGAGATATCTTAAATAAGAGGGATCTTTAATTAATAACAATTAACTCGCAGAGTAAAATGTTGAAATCATGTCTTTACAAACGGTAATAAATACTTAAGAGAATTATAGTGAATTTTCCAAGACTATACGCTGGGTAGGAAAGTGGTGATAAAAAGCTAAAGATACAGCTGGTGAAAGAGATGAAAAATAAAGAATACTGCGCGTATCTATAACATATAAGTTCGTTCACTCGATGTATTCTATTGTAAGGAAACTGCAAGGCTTCAATAAGCATAAAATACTGAATATCATAGTGGCTAAAATAAGCATGCTTACCTGACTGGATAGCTTTTTACTTACGTATAAATATGTAGAATAAGATAGACATAATTTTCGCAAGATTTCCGAAAAGATATAAGTTTGAGTGAAAAAGTAATACCTGAATAATGTTAGACTTACTATTGTTCAGTTTTGTTCTAGTGTTGTATTTTTTATCTAAATTTTCTATTGAATTAAATAGTTTGTTCTTTTTAGCAAATATTAAATGGTACAATGTTGAAATAGTATGCGCCCGAAAATGTTTACTAGCATTATGATATTAACAACTCTGGTCTAATGGACAGGGAAGAATAGCTCCAAATATTGTTTTTGTTCTTAATATTGTCCTCAACATTACCCTACTATCTCGTATATTCGGCGCTATTCTATAGAAAAACTACACATATTTACGGTATGTAGTAACTAGACATAAAGCGGACTTTTATCAGGAACGTAAAGCAAAAGTTGAATTTTTTTTTGTGTTTATACAATATTATTTTTCGGTTCGAGCGCTGCAAACATTCTCACGAAAAATCGCCAACACGTGCGGCCTAAGCCACTTTGAACTGCGCACATTGTGCATATAGTTCAAACTGGGCCAAGTTAATGAATCGATCCAAGTTAGACTTCTTGATGGTAGCTAATCACGCCAAAGTCAAATTGTGGTTTATTAAGCAATTAAATTCACTCAAAAACTTTAGAATTTTATCTTTAAAATAACTCCGTTCTTTTCTCCTCCATCGACTATATATATTTACAAAAAAAATAATTTTGAAGAAAAAATCAGAATTTTAAATACCTAGGGAATCAATGGAGCCGTTAAGCCCTCTATCACACAGCTAGCTGCCACAACAAAACATTGCCCGACTATACCCGGGTTCGAACCGATATTATAACAGCCCTAAACATCAGCACGAAAATGTTAGTCACTATGCTATCACATGAAGTACAGGGTAAACCTAGCGTGGTCCCACAGGCTCTATGAGTTGTACACACAACGTACATAACCTGTTGCATATCCATTAAGTTTCGCCTTAAAGCTGCAAGAAGGGAGAAATAATACTCACGTAAAGCTTGGTGCCAAATTTCTCGTGGTGATGAAAAAATATTCCAACATTATTAGAATATTGCGCCTATAATTTAGCTCTGCAATGGAATTGTTAGCTGCCTTCAGCGTTCGTACCAGATAGATCGTGCCTCTCGTGTGTTTCAATTCTCTCGGAATAACATAACTGCCGAATATGAACTTAAATACTCTGTAAATGCATGATTTCAATTTCAGCATATTTTTTGTCGGCCGATACTACTAGTTCCTCAACATAGGGCAACCAACTGACAAATAGAGTATATATGGCTTTCACCTTCTGTGCTTACTACTAGCCGTTTTTCAAACTCATTACTTGGCATAAGAGGTGGCTTTGCACAAATCGTATTACAAGTTTCACGCGTATGCATGACAATAGGACGGGTTCAGAACATATTCTGGACATAATTCTACGCAATCATAACTTTGTCAAAGACGTTTATGTTCTACCTTCATGAATGTAGATCATAAGGCAATTAGTTTCAGTAACAGCAGGATACATGACCATAGACGCGGTAATTTTTATTTACGTCCCTTCGGTGATTAAAAAGGGGGATTATGAGTCATTAAGAGCAAGTCTAGATAGAACGAATTAACACAAATTCAGTGCTTTTCCACTTTCCAACGACAGGTAACCAGAAGCTTTTGACATACAAATTTCTTCTTCACCCACGAGTAAAGATTCTTCTTTATATAAGTATAGATCGAAACTGCTCAATGGTATCTCGCCACAGTACCGACTAGGACTTCGCCTAATTAAGTTGATCTTCACCATCGGAATCTTTGTGTCAGAGCTAACGATAGGCTTTTTCGCATTAAAAGTCGACTATGTGGTCTAGGCAGGTATAAGAAATCTTCGCTTGCATACTTTATACGAATTTATCTGTGTATGTTTATCCTGATATCAAAGCCGTGAGGTACGCTAACGACGTAAACACTGATAATTAAAAAAGTTATTGAAAAATACAGTCAGTGCTAAATATACTAGATAGAGAGATAATAAGAATTTACCTAAAATTTTCAATTCACAAATGTTCGGGCATATATTTTAGACAAGAACAACTTTCTGGTAAAAGTATTGCACCCATAGCCTTAAATCGACAGCTACTACCTAAACACGTAATCTGGGAATCACACTGCTAACAAGTTTCTATTGCATTAACTGTGTTGTTGATCATAATATTGTGATGCGTTCCTTTAATAGGAAAAGCTGGATCATTTATAGCCAGTTGGCCCTACTTTTACAGGCAACCATTGCCTGCATGTGTGTCCTTAATATGAAACACAAGCCTAATTAAGGATAAACCCTCACACATGTGCGAACGACGCTTGTAAGGCATGTTGTTTTTAGATGTACAATTTATCGCGATGAAATAATTTATAATGATTTTTTCGAAATACTAGGCAAAAGCTATATGAACATGCCTAGTAGACTAGGGAACAACTCAGGTTAAAAAATATTTCGTAACAATTCCTGCAGTAACTATCTGCGTATTGAGTGCACAGCCAAAAGAAATACCGACTACAACCTCTGTAAATGACGTTTTTGCGTGGCATGCGCTTCGCCTAGTTCGCGGAAGCCCCTACGCTTTCCTTTCTCTTGTTTTTGTTTATGTACGAAATAAGAATATTGCATTGTGCATATTATTCTAGCTCAGAAAAACAATTTTCTATACAGTGCAAGATCTATCATTTTGTTACCTGTTTTGACCCTTATCGACAATCGGGAGTAAAGTAATTCAGCAGTGATCTGATTTTTTATTACATTATTAAATTGTAACCGTTTGGCTCGGCCTCGAACTGCGCCCACTTTTTTGCAGCTTTTCTTGTGATATTCATAATAAACTTTGTGTTTTTACGTAAAATGTCGTGTGGCGTCGCGTTTAGACAGCAGCGTGCGTAGGTAGTAGGAGCTCGTTCAGAAGTAGCCATGGTACGTCTATATTTTAGGCCCCGCCGTTAACCGTTAGCTCTTGTTGTCATTAGAACGCATTACCCGTCGGCGCAGAGTTGATAGTGCTTCATGTTCTATTCTATAAAGCAATGTTACCATTGAAGCAATCGCTGGTAATCTGTGAGAATAATATCCTATTGGATCCGCAACAGGAATACCATCTATTTAGAATTGAAGGCTCACACATTGCACTAAGAGTCAATTTGACAGGTCTGTGCTTTTGTTGTTTAAGAAGAAAGCATCTTGATGATTTTTTCTAGATTATTATGCTAGCTCGTCAGGAGCTTTATCCATTATATAATTATTATTATTACGTTATGCTATACTTGGAAAATATATATAGAAGGAACATGTATATGTTCCTTACTTATATCCGTACTTATATATGGTCCTATTTCTGATATATTGTTTCGTGTCATTGTGACAAATGTAGCTCCGATTCAATTATAATCAGACAAAGGAGATCAATGTACTTAAGGCTTCAAATAAACCTTAGATGGAACCTGCGGTTATTCATTTTCTACTGTTCATTTTGTGGGCTCCCTCTGCCCACTGTGTCTACCGCATTTCGTGTGGCCCACAAACTAAATACTGAAAATTCGATCGATCGTATTACATTCAACTTTCTATAGAGGTCATTTATATTATTGAGATGACATTTAATTGATTTAGCCACCAAATTATACAACTATAACACACATCGTATAGTAATTGTGCACCGTCGAGACCAGGCCATTGTGATATAAACGGGGATACCCCATTGCCATCTACACATTGTGTATTCCTCTATAGAATACGGCTACTCGCGCTTTAACCTTTGGATAGCAACCTATGCAGCAGGATTAATCCCTTTCCAAGAAGGCAGAACATGGTCGTGCTGTTCGCCAGAAGAGAAGAAATCAAAATAAAAAAAAAAGCACATTTAATGTCTTCGGCACGAATTGCGAAAACCTCAGAAACTATGAGCATTCACAATGTATTCGTTTCAGTTGCAGGCATACATATATTCATAACAGGAATGTACAGAAAATAATATGCCTCCTTACTTTTTTATCGCATATTTTATTCCAGTCAGTTTTAAACGTAGTACTTAGATGCGCTATCTTTGCCGTATATTTCCATGTAACATCGTCTGCAAAGGTTGAACTTTACGACCCATTATATACTGCTGCTTTCGCGAGTTGTCTGCCTGTTTTTCTTTTGCCTTTATATTACTGAGCTTCTACTTCTATCCCTTATATTCGAGAAGCCACTCATTTACCCTGACTTAATGCATGATAATACACATACTAAATACGAGTGTATCAGTTATATGGCATTATTATTAGAAAGACTATTTAATGTTCATTTGAGGTACGTGTTTTTTTGGATTAACTAGTAACGTTGTGCATTAATTTTTTTTGTATTGGTATTGTTCAGAATATTTGTAGGCGTCGCTGGTCTTATCCACTACTCGTACTTTATTTTCAAGTGAAATAAATCAACGCTGTATTTATTCAATATATAACGCTGCCGAATAACGTCCCTAGTGAATAGGATTTAGTACAAAGTAGGCATTTTTCCATGAGATCAGTTGGTCACTTCTTTCCAGATTTCTTAATACCTCCAGACGCAAGGGGGCCTTTACCAGCCGCTTTGGCTGCCATTTCCTTCATTTTTTTTTGCTCTTCCTGCTGCCTGAAAAATAAAGACAACGTCGATTCTAAGTTAACTAAAGGAATAGTGATTGTAATAGTTTATCGTGATTAAGATTTCAAGAGCTCACTTGCCGACGTTTATTGTTGGCTGAACAAATTGTTTGGATGCCGCCTATTCCTCGGAATGCAAGCTTCTTTGTTTCCAAAAAGTTTTTCGCTTACAAATATTAATATCAAACCTATTTCAACTCCGC